ACCATCTTTAGATTCAGTTTGTGAAGCATGATGGCCTGGGGGTGCACATTTAACAGGGAACTAGAGAAACAGATTCTTTTCTCGTCTGATGAGTAAGGTTCTCAATTCAGGATTGCTAGTCGATCTGGTCTTCCTTAAATTACCAGAGTTAAGACTTGAACTGGATTGGATTCCAGAAGCATGAATGCCAGAATCCACATTTCGTTTGGTTGATTCCAACTCTGACATAAATAAGAATAGAAAACGAAGAGAAGTCATTTTAACAATCAGATAATTGAAACAGGAACAATTTATAATATTGTAATGATAATTGATAAACAAAAACTTACCCAAAGGTTTTGGTTGAAGTTTACCAGCGTAAGTTGAGACAACAAAAAGCAACAAAATATAAAAAGAAATGTTCATTTTTGATTTTCTTCAATCGTGTTGATTCAAATATTAATAATAAAGGAGACTGAAGATTCAATTTCATTACCATCAACATTATATACTCTTTAAAATTCAGATGATAAATTGAAATAGCTACCGATAAACATGATTGAATCATAAATAAAGTGTTTAATTGAAATGACACTTACCTTAAACGCGTTATTAACTTTATTAATAACTTTGTATTAATAATAACAATTACATAAGATGTGATCACTTTAGTCTTGAGCAAAACAAGAAATTGTTTATCGAATGTTTCATGTCTCAATTTATGTCTGAAAACCTTGCCCTTTAGCACGCTCGACACTTGAGATTAATTTATTCATTTATATTATATTTTCAGAGTTTTACTTAAAATGATTGGCTTTTCAAAATCAAAATTCTGATGAATCAAATTTCCATGTGCTTTTAATTGTCTGTAATAGTTCAAAATTAGCCCAATTGAGACTAATTAGCTCAAAAGTTGTAACCACCAGCTTAATTTTCATCGGTTTGTAGATTAACATGAAAATTCAATACAAAATATGAATTGAAAGCAGAATTGATAAACAACTAATAAAGATGAAAATCTCCAACCAAAGGTAAGGGTTAAGATTTCTAACGAGGGAAGTATCCCAAGTGGTACGCTCATTTTCGATTTTTTCTGGGTTTATATTGTAGAGGATCGAAAATTATTAGACACGTATTTTGGCTTTTATTTCGCTAGTGCGCGTTTCGTGATGTAGAGCCCTTTCAAGTCGCGACAGTCAAGTCAACGTAAAGTGTATGGAAGTAGCTGTAAAATTTATTTTGATAAGCAAGAAAACATTTTATTTATTAAAATGAATTTAGAGAGTCCCTTGTAAGATTTCTTGATTGCTATAAGTTGTAATAACTTAGACGCAGCATTTACTGATTTGCTGCTTCATTTGAAAATATTTTTGGTTTATCCATTGAATAAATCTAGACACTACTTGAATTATTACACTAATCACTTTATTTGAACGGTGAAAGATTTGTTTTTAGCTTTTTGCTTGAATATTCAAATTGAAATTTAGCTTTAGATTTAAGATCAATTCTACAATCAATATCAATGATCGGTATCATGAGCATGTAAACATGTTGGTTTTGAAGGAGTAACAGTGAAAAAAGCGAAAGAAAAAACACATTTAATTCCTCGAATTGATTCATGATTTGCTGCACTCGGTTGGTGAATTGTATGTATAAGTTTCAGTTCTGTCAAGAGAAGCAAGTTCAGTGATTACACGACTATCAACTTCAGTAATCAATTTTTCGTAAAGTGGATGTTGATTCTTTCCGAAACAAACCAAATCAATCTCCTTTGTTTCAGTTTTTGTAGCTGTTTCACCTTGTTTGCACACCAATTTAGGATACTTTGAGAAACAGATTTCATTTTCACGTCGAAACACCAAGGTTCGAAGATAAGGACTTCTCAGCGATCTGGTCTTCCTTATAAAAGAGGCAATTGGTAAAGGCACAACTTTAGTCTTCAATTGGGCTGTAGAGTCAAGACTTGATTGGATTCCAGAAGCATCAATGCTAGAGTACTCATTCACATATCGCTTGGTTTCCTTTAATCCTGACACAAAGAAGAATAGAAAATCAAGAGAAATCATTTAGCAATTAGATAACTGAAACATTATTAATTAATAAACAAAAACTTACCCAAGGGTTTTGGTTGAAGTTTGCTAGCGCAAGTTGAGACAACAAAAAGTAACAAAATATAAAAAGAAATGTTCATTTTTTGATTTTCTTCGATTGATCCAAGAAGACTGATGATTTAATGTCATTGCCATCAACTTTTTATACTCTTTGATATCCAACCTAATCAATCTGTTCATCTCGTTTAGTCAATATTTATTGAACAATTCACTGTAAATGAAGACCAACAACAAGCACGTTTTCATTACCATCTCTAAGGATCTTTGACTTGAAGCATAACTCATAATTCAAGAACGTGTTAAATCTGGTATCATATCACAGCAAAAGTTGGAAAAACTTTGTGATACCTTTCAGTTTTTGTAATAGTTTCACTCTGTTTGGTCAATTCATATTTGGTTGAATATTCCTAGAGAAACAAGATTCAATTACTCGATTGATGACCATCAACAGGATAGCTGATTGATGCGGTCTTTCTTATAAGAGGAAATGGGTGAACTCGTGTAATCTTTTCCATGTAATTACTTTATTCTATTAAATTTTTATTTGAATGGATAATATTTTTTGAAGTTATATTTACGATGATACAAATATATTCCGTTTGTCTTAGAAAGACAAACCGGGAACAAAAATTAAGAAAAGAACGCTTTTGGACTGTTTCCTCAATTGCTGCACTTGGTTGGTGAATCGTAAGTATAAGTTTCAGTCTTTTCAAGATCCATAACTTCAGTAATGATACGTTTTTCAACTTGACTAGCCAATAGCTGGGCGAATGGGTTTGCATACACATCTAAGCAAACCAAACCAACCGTCTTGGATTCAGTTTTTGAAGCATTTGCGCCTTGTTCGCACATCATTATAGGAAACTGAGAGAAACAGATTTCTCTTTCTCGTTTGATGAGTAAGGTTCTCAAATGAGGATTGCTAGTCGATCTGGTTTTCCTTAAAAGAGAGGAAATAGGCAAAGTCTCAACATTGGCAGAATTAACACTTGAACTGGATTGGATTCCAGAAGCACCAATGCCTGAATCTACATGTCGCTTGGTTTCCTTCGATCCTGACATAAATAAGAATAGACAACGGAGAGAAGTCATTTTAACAATTAGATAATTAAAACAATAATAAATACGCAAAAACTTACCCAAACGTTTTGGTTGAAGTTTACCAGCGTAAGTTGAGACAATAAAAAGCAACAAAATATAAAAAGAAATGTTCATTTTTGATTTTCTTCAATCGTATTGATCCAAATAAAGAAGACAGATAATTTAAGTTTCATTGCCATCAACATTTTATACTCTTTAAGATTCGAGTTAATCAATCTGATCATCTTGTTTAGTCAATATTTATTGAACAATTTACTGTTAATGAAGACCATCTTCACTGTGAATCTGCTCATTTTCATTGACATCTTTGAAGATCTTTGACTTTAAGCACAACTCTCAATACAAGAACGAGTTCCATCTGGTATCATATCACAGCAAAAGTTGTATTATTTCAGTGTTATCATAACTATCAATAATTAACCCATGATAAGATAATTCGCTGAATAGTAGCCAGAATAGTTTATTTTATTTTGCAACTCTCACCATTTGACGATTGTTAGTTCATTAACAGTTTAAGTCTTTTAAATGTGGATCGAATGTATTGTATTCAGAAAAAAAATTTACAATCAGTCATGATCGGAGGTCCACTTGTCATCAATAAAAAATGGTAGCTAGTTATTTAAAAAATGAATCTTTCAGATTCTTCATTCCATTATCGACAACAAAAATACTTTTCTTTTTACAAATCATATCAACTTTTATGACTTCAGTTTTTAAAGCCTTTTGCCCATCTTTGAGCAGCCAAAGAAGTCAAATTCATTTTCTTGATCAATGACCAAGGGTCGACGAATATTGAACGAACAATGATTCCAACAATATTGATATGAACTGTTCATTTTTTCTGATCCCATTATAATTGATCGGGTAAATAAATGGCAGAAACGGGGAAATCATGTAATCTTTTAAGTTACTTTAATAGATCAAATTATGATTTGGATTACCATTTGATAAATTGTAAAAGTTATATTTATGATAATGCAAATATATTCCGTTTGTCTTAGAAAGATAAACCGGGGACAAAATAAAAGAAAAGGACGTTTAATTTATCGAATTGATTCCTTAAGTGCTGCACTTGGTTGGTGAATTGTAAGTATAAGTTTCAGTCTGTCACGACCCATAAATTCAGAAAGCATTCGTTTTTTAGCTTCTTCGACCAAAAGAATGGCAAGTGGATCTGAACTCTTATCCAGACAAACCAGATCAACCTGCTGGGATTCAGTTTGTGAAGCATTTTCGTTTTCAGCACACATCCTTACAGGAAACTTAGAGAAACAATTTTCCCTTTCTCGTTGGATGACTAAGGTTCTAAAACCAGGATCGGTAATCGATCTGGTTTTCCTTACATTAGCAGAGTCAACACTTGAACTGGATTGGATTCCAGAAGCACCAATGTTAGAATTTCCATGTCGCTTGGGTTCCTTCAATTCTGATATAAATAAGAATAGACAATGGAGAGAAGTCATTTTAACAATTAGATAATTAAACAATAATAATTCATATAATATTTTAATGATAATTAATAAACAAAAACTTACTCGGAAGTTTTGGTTGAAGTTTACCAGCATAAGTTGAGACAACAAAAAGCAACAAAATATAAAAAGAAATGTTCATTTTTGATTTTCTTCAATCGTATTGATCCAAATAAAGAAGACTGATAATTTAGTTTCATTGCCATCAACATTTTATACTCTTTAAGATTCGAGTTAATCAATCTGATCATCTTGTTCAGTCAATATTTATTGAACAATTTACTGTTAATGAAGACCATCTTCACTGTGACTCTGCCCATTTTCATTGGCATCTCTAAGCACATCTCTTTGACTTGAAGCACAACTCTTAATACAAGAACGAGTTTCATCTGGTCTCAACTCATATCAAAGTTGAAGGACCTTTGTGTTATTTCAGTATTATTAAATATATCAGTATTTAACCCATGAGAAGATATTTCGCTGAATAGTAGCCTGAATGGCAAACAGTTGGCTAACTGGACCAAAACGATATATGAAGAAGAGAGTGGAACATAAAACCAAATTATACAGGGTGTATCAGTCAAATAGCCGGTTTTGAATCGCTAATAACTTTTTCGTCCTTTGCTCGAATTCGAAATTTTTTGCAAATCCATATTGTCAATGAGTCAAAGTTTTGTTTTTGGTAACTTTCAAAGAGGAGAAATGAGTCTACAGGGTGCAACACTGCCTCAAAGTCAAAAAAGTTTATTTTCAATGAAGGCTTCGTATATCGACTTCGAGTCATAGCTCGTGAGTGAAAGGACGCAGAATATTTTAGAAGATATCATCCGAATCATAAATTTTGACTAATTAACGACTGCTATAGATTCTCCTTTGGCATCGATCATAGGACGCCATAGACTCATCCTGTTTTGACCGGGCAAAAGCAAGTGGGCCCGGTGGGTTAAATACAGCTTACTCGTTAATTTGTTTGCAACATCTCTTGATATTCATTGACATATCACACCCTTTGCCATCACTTGTACTAAGACATTATCTAACTGCGTGGTACAGTTACTAAACGCTTAGTACTGAGTCAAACGATGTCCATTGCCGATCATAATGTTGACGTGAGCAACTTGGATAAGGAAAGTATGGAAAATCATAACTATTATCGTCGAAGTTGGATGATGGATTATGGATTTTTAAGAGCTTAACTCAGTAGGATTAGAAAGATGTAGTTTGGTTACAATCAGCAATTTTTTCCCCCACTTCTGT